AGGAGAGAGGTACAAGGAGAGAGGACACGAAGACTCGCAAGGTCGCTTCTACAGGAGGGAACCGCGTGCTGCTCATCATTACTGTCTGTGCAAAGAAAGGATGTTATTTGCATTTACAAATTAATGCATGACATTACAGAGACCAAGGTCAGCGTCACCAACTTTTCTCCATGCAGGAGTAACCTGCTCTGGCCCAACTGCTGCTCAGCAAAAGGATTTAGAAAAAAAAAAGAAAAAAAGAAGGAAAAATGATAAAACCCAGTAGGTGAAAGTGGGCAAAGTAGAAGAATTCTGTGCCCAGCTGCCTGTGTTCACTTGGTAACCCTGTCCCCAAACCTCAAGCCCTTTGGAGGACAGGTAAGCACTCCAAGTCACGCTATAAGCGTGGAAGTACTCGACTGCTTGGTGCGGACTTACAGAGCTCGGCGCTTGTCAAAAAATTTTGATCTGTTGATTTAAGTGGCAATACAAACATGTCATTTTGAACGCTGCATATCATTAATGCAGAAAATTTATACTTGATGGGATTTCACTCCAGAAACATCTCTTTAAATCGTGGCCCAACGTGCAAGTCAATCTGGCACGCTAAGAAACTGATAAAACCTTCATTTTGTTCGTAAGCAGCAAATTTATTTAGCGATGGCTCTATGTCAAGAAGGAATCGCTGTAGCCTCTTAACATAAGAGTTTTTAATTTTCTGCGTGTAAGAATAAGTTGTCACAGAAAAAGCAAAAGGTCCGGTGTTTCTCTGTATTCACAGCATCACAGCATAGCAAGGACACAACCTGACGGGCTGGATTTGGATCCGACAACTCCTCTGGTGTTACTTAGGCTATTCCTGTACCGCGGCTCAGGACTCAGACTGTAGACCAATCTCTCCCCAAGTAATTCAGTCCGAGTGACTAAATACGTGCCATCTCAGGGACAGGGGGAACCGTAGGAAAGACATTAGGATATGCAGCCAGCTAGACAATTCCCACTGGGTGTTTCAAAATTACCAGGGTATAAATAAATTACCAGCCGTCGCCAATGGCCATGCGTACTCAGTGTGCCTTATCAGATGATATTTTCCTAAAGTTCTCACAAAAGAAATGGGTCTTGAGACCCATCCTCCTCCTCCGTGATGAGGAGGAGGAACAAAAATGATGCAGAAGGCAAAGAGTATTTAAAACACACTTGGCATAATGGAGAAGAAAATTTGTCGTGCGTTTAAAAAACACACATAGGTCCCATTTACTTACCCCCTGACACCGATTTCCTCATTGCAATATTTAAACATCACACAGCCATTAGCAGATTTTAGCCTCACAAAGCCTGTCAAGTTGTTAAATCCCTCATGAGATCTGAGAGCTTCTCAGAAGGGAACAGAGGGGTCTGCTCAGGATTATACAGAAAGTTCATGAACATGTTGCCCAGACTTAAGAGGTCCCGAATTGATTTTCAGTAAGTTGGTTAATTCTTAACTAAAGGCCCAGAAATTTATCTTCGTAGTATTTTATATAGACCCAGATGGAGGTGCAGAGCACTAGCGGATGGAGAGTAAGTTAATAAGAAAAAAGAATGATCAAAGTTTGGTTACAGCTTAACTAAACAACGGATGGAGAGGTGGTGAGACTGCATCTTTGAGATATGATGAAGAGAACCTTAGCCTCAGCAAACGTTAATTCCTCCGCACACTTCAATTTAGTAACTAATCAAGAAAACTCACCCAAACATTTAGCACAAATCGGGAATTTAAATTAAAACATACGCATATGGCAATCCACAACATAATCCCTTATCTGCCGCTATCGATAGGAGAAATGGTATTTTTGACTTTATGGATATTAAGGGTATGTATGTAATTGATTGGAACAGCACACTTGAATTGACGAGGTCTCGAGCACTTACTCTGAGCCTGTCTTTGGGCAAAGCCACGGCTCCTTGCTTGATGATTTCCAGAACTCGCTCCACTGACAGCTCAGCTCCAGCTTGCTCTAATCGGGAGCTGAAGAAGCTGATCACCTGGAATGAAGAATCAGAGCACATAAATAAAGAGAAAAGCAGAGATCTTTTGTATCAATTTACACACGAAGCTGTCATCCTCTTCCCCTGGATCAATGTATCTGTACTTCTTAAAGAATAATCATGTTATTGCTTGTGTCACAGCCAGGGAGCCTTTGTTAATGTCAAATTAGCACAATTATCAGTATCCTGCAGTCATTTTTAACAGATAGATGGTTTTACAATTTAATGCACACAGCTCAATTAATAAATTTACATTTTCAAGTACTGTGCACTGACATACACTTATATTTTTCTGTCAGCACATCAGGATTTTCGAGGCCTTCCAGTCTACTTTTTATAGTTTGAGCTAGACATTTCCTTTCATTTTCCAGCATTAAAGTAAAATCCTTATCGTTTCAATGACTCCTGGACAGAAGGTTTTAAGACAACTGTTAAATATTTCAATACAACTACAAGAGTCTACGTGACTTGCCTGGGGGGTTTGTAGCATCCGAAGCCACAGCAATTGGAGGGGATTAAAAAAAAAAGTCCACAAAGCTCCTCTTTTCCCCAAATTCACCACCTGAAGTCCCCCATGTACCTTCCCCATCACAGATTCCAGGACCTGTATGTTCCTTTCCAATGCTCTCATCCTCCACACATCTCCCTGGTGAGGCCAAGCTGCTTTTCACCATATTTCCCTCTCCACCCCCTTTCTGTGACCCAGCTGGTCCTTGTTAGTCAGAACACACTTAGGTCAGGCTTTAACTTTTATCCCTCTCCAAGCTCAGTAGGTCACACCAGAAGCAGACATCCCACCGGCAGTTCTCCATGTGGGACATCAGAAAACCTCCATTTCTAGAGCTCCTTTCATCCAGAAAGGGCAGACTTTGCAAACCCCATCCCTGATCCCGGAGGAACTCATCAGTCACGCAGGGGATCCGCAACTCAGACCAATGCAAAAAGGGTCTGGGGGAAAATGTCAACACCTACTTAGAGACCTTTGGAAGCACCACAAGATGGTCAGGGCTACTTGATAGAGCCTATGCACACGTGAGCACCCAGCTACCCCTTGGCTAGAGCCACCCGCAGCTTCTGCTCGCTGCCACATGCTGCTGGTAGGTTCCCCAACATCTCGTAGGCTTCGGACTACTCTCCTCTGAAAAGTACGGATGCCCACTTGTATCTGAATCCCAACCTCCAGCACATCAAGTAATTTTTGTTAATTCTCCCAAGTAGAAGGGGGGGAGAAGTGTTTTATACTACAAAATCTCTGCTGAGCTCTCTTTGTTCTGTAGTGAGACACAGCTGGAGCCAGAAACCATTACCCTAATTATGCCTCCCAGCTCAGCTGCTATTAATAAAACAAAGACAGTTGATGGCTTGATTACTGCAAGATTCAAATTTGTTGTTCCTCTCTTGCGATCCCCAAAACCCCAGCCCTTGTTTTGAGCAGGTAGATTTGCTGGATCGCAATTTTCTCTAGGAACTGAAGCACCAAGCGAGACAGACGACGCTTGCGCTTGATGGAAGTTGCTTTTTGGGGTTGATGTGTTTTTAGGTTTGGGTTTTTTTTTTTTTTTAGGTTCTGTTTTGTTTTAAACAACAGAAGCGTGGAAATCAGTCAAGAGAAAATTCAGGTTTAACCTCCTGGACTGTCCTTATGATTATCTCCGTACTTGAAGAGAAGGGAGAATTTCACTGCCTCTGGCAGATGTTGCAGGTAGGTTTTACGTTCTTACAGATAAGGACCCGCTGTAGCGCTGTGATCTCTGATCCTTGAAAAAAACTCCAGGAGGAGGAAGATGTGCTGAGTTCATAAGCCACGGAGCTGGAGGGAGGAACCAGAAATTACAGAGGAAAATGGCAAGAAACAGCTTGTGCAAAGAGCGTGAGGACCTCGGAGTGAGGCTGACATGGGTTTGGCATAGAGTCTGGGACAAATTGCTGGTGGAACATACACAGCTCACAGAGGAACGAGAAAGTTGCCCACAAACTTCGAAAGAAAAAATCCCATCTTCCTCCATTTCAACACTGCTCTGTTGCCAGTAATAGCTGGTGAAACCTATCCTCGCCCAGGGCAGGCTCACGCAGAGAATCCATCTCGCTAGCGCTGCCTCGCTAGCTCAACTTCTGCTAAACCACAACAAAAGCCAAATTTCATATTTGGCTTTTAATCAAAGCGATAAAACACTATCATAACACATCCACATAAAAAAACTGAATGAAGCTCGCAGATGCTACCTGGATTCTGGCGTTGCCTATTTTGGAAAGTCAAAGCCTCCAATCTTAACGTGTTTTTAAAAGACTTTTATTTTTTTTTTTTTTTGTGGTAAAGGTACTAATCTTGCTTGAGCTCTGTTTCACAAAGAACAAAAGTGTGATAGGCTTCCAATATTTTCAGGCTACGTCAGCGTTTCACAGAAAGTTGAATGGCTATTTTTGGTACGCAGTTGAAGACTGAAATGAAAAATATCTACTTAAATAATAATAATAATTATTGCAAAGCCTTCTTTGCTTTATGACTAGAATCGGAGTAATTCTTGATAGGAACCCTGATAGTGCAGTACCCCAATGAGATACTCAGGTACCCAATAAGTACCTCAATGAAACAAGGAAAAAAAAATAGGATGGGCGGGAGAAAAAAAAAAAAAAAAAAAGATAAGTGATACAGAGGAGATCCTAAAAGCAGCATTTGCTCACTACCATGAGATTAGTAATAAAAGCAAAAAGCATCCAGCATTACGTCCCTACTGGCCAAGCTCCTACCCCTTCCTGTAGCAGAAGCTCTACCACTTCACCTAGGAATCTGCCCAAATATAAAAATATAAAAGCTCACCATAATATTAAGAGCAGCCTCTTCCTTTGAAAGAGCTTTAATTATCTTCCGCACATAAGTAACAGAGCTGCATTTAAAATAATCATGAAAATGAACAGATTTCAACTCCTTGTCCACTTAAAAAGAAACGAACCCAAAAAAGCAAACTGGCTGGATATTAAATGAGTTTCAAGTTTTAGCACATGCTTTAAAGCCCAGTGCTAAGCTTATTACTCTAACACATAGAAAAAAGCAGATCTCCGGGCAAACAAACTAAACTGAGACCTTTTTTTTTTTTTCTTATGGTGTCCTTTCTTTGATATTCTGAAAATTATTTTTCTTATTAATTATTTGGGCAACTGGCCTAGGAAAACAGAAAATAACTGCAAAGACTGCTTAAGAAGAAGAACACGAAACTTAACGAGTTGCCATGAATTGCTCGTATCCAAGACTTGGATATAAAAAGTTCCCTCTCCAAGCCGGCTTCCATGTTAACAGAGATTAAAAGGCACGTCTAATCCCAGATTAGCCAACCCCTTATCAGGAATATTTTATCAGCGTCCAGATAAAACAGGGTATCTACACTGCCTTGCCCTGCGCAGAGAGCCTAATTCTGGTGATGCAAGCTACCCAACATGTGGTGCGATGGGCAAGCAGCGACATGGCTTGGTCACCATCAGCTCAGGGGTTTCTGTGCATTATATTAACATACTATTAATATACTATTAATATACTCAAGATCTCTAACCAGAACTTTTCTATAGTGATTTCCAAAATTGGTTTTCATAAAGCTCTTCCATTTAAGAGATTGCATAGAATAATAGAATCGTTTAGGTTGGGAAAGAGCTTGAAGATCACCAAGCCCAACCGTTCCCCTACCCCTGCCATCCCACCCCCAAACCCTGGCCCTCAGCACCGCCTCTGCCCGGCTGTTAAATCC